ATCGAATCGACGCCGCTCGATTTGCACGCCTCACGTGGGCATGTGCTGCAGTTTAAATGCTTGCGTTATGCGGCCCACGTGGTCGTGTCCTGTTCGTCGGGTGCTCCAATCTCCCATGCAACGTCTTCTTTGACGTCATCGCGTTGCTGCGTGTTGCTGTGCTGCCGCCCCCTCCCCCTCCCCCCCACAACTCCTGCGCGGGGCTGCTGTCAGAGACAGCTTGATTAAAGGAAGCGTCCCGCCTTAAGATCCGGTTTGGAACTGAAAGTAGCCATCTTGAAAATTATTCGGTGCAGTTCACAGCTCTACACTTCTAAAGACCTAAATTTTTCTAGTTTCTGAGCTACACGCTCGCGAAAGTGTAGTCTATTTCGAGGAGACTGTTGAGGTCACCCACGCATCCATGACGTCATAAAATCATCATTCAAATCCAGCTATTCCATAATCCATGCGACGATCAAGACCAAGAAAATGTAATTGGCGAGTTGTTCATTTCAGGCGTTCGTGAGCACGATTTCCGGATCTAACGGCCGTCAATTGGCTCTTAATCAATATTTTGCAAGGTATGAAGACTTAACCAAGCAATGACGTCTTGTGGAGCATATTAACTAAACAAAAAACAATTATGTTGTCTAGAGCAGCCTTTTCCACTTAAAAGAGTACCAATAGTTATAAGAGGGCTTCTTTCATGATAGGTGATGTTTGCTTCCAATATCTTCAAATGTAGAGTATTCCCTTCAAGCCCTTCACGCGTGTTGTCATCGCAGTCCCCCCTGCGGTTTTCCGTATCAGGCTCTCAACTGCACAGCCGTATGCTTGAAATGGCTGACACAGTGAGCCGTGTGAGGCACTCAGTATGCGAGCCGTATCTTCACCTGCCAGCTGGCGGCTGTGGGGCTGCGGCGTGAGGCTGTGTCGCTGTGCGGCTGTGTGACTGTGTGGCTGTGTGGCTGCGGCGTGAGGCTGTGTCGCTGTGCGGCTGTGTGACTGTGTGGCTGTGGGGCCAGGGCGTGAGGCTGTGTCGCTGTGCGGCTGTGTGACTGTGTGGCTGTGTGGCTGCGGCGTGGGGCTGTGTCGCTGTGCGGCTGTGTGGTTGCGTCACTCTCGAAGGCAGCAAAGACAGGCGGCTTATGTCGCCTGTCTCTGCAGTTAGTGCCGCTCGCTGGTGATACAGTTGTCGATGGCTTTGCGGTGCTGTTCGATCATGAGCTTGACTGCAAGACGGACTGATTGAGTTAGAGTTAAAATGATTTAAGCTAAGTGGTGAGTTCCTCTCATACCCGAGCTGGCCTTGCGTAGTGGCTTTAATCCGTCCAGGTTAGAGGGTCCCTCCATTTGAACTGGCGCACGACAGATGCTGCAGCCGCCTGGGCAAACCTTGAACTGCTCGTCGACTGCGCGGCGGCCGCGAGGCAGTGCCCTCGATGTGTGTCAAGCTTTGCCGGATGTATGGGTCGTGGAAAGGTCACAATGTGTGGAGACCGGGCTGTGAGATGGCGGCTCCGCCCACGCTCCGCGCGATCGATCTCCCGAGCCGTCGGCGCGCCGTCGAAGTCTCCGGCTGAGATGCCGGGCTTTTTCACAGCCAGCACTATTGTCGAACACTATTGTCCAGCATTATTGTACAACACTATTGTCCAGCACTACTGTCCAGCATTATTGTACAACACTTTTGTCGAGCACTATTGTCCAGCACTATTGTCCAGCATTATCGTACAACACTATTGTCCAGCACTATTGTCCAATATTTTTGTCCAACACTTTTGTCCAGCACTATTGTCAAGATTCACAATGTGCGCCGGGGAGGTACGAACAGTGATGACTTAAGTTTCACGGAAGGGATGGTGTGCTAGAATATACAAAGCGTTTCGACCAGTGAACTTTGCGGCCGTCGTCAGCTGTTGTGGAGTCCTGAGAAGGACTAGATCATGTGTGGCTTTCAGCAATGTATGCGTCAAAATCCGAATTTTCTGCTTGGAATTTCTGGGATTTGACTCAGGGATTTCTGATGGGGAGTCCAGTGCTCCACCAACTGAGCTCA